ATTTTAAAGATATAATGTCAAGGCGGAGCTATTTCTGGCCTTATTTTGGATGGACCTATACCATTTTGTTTAATATAACAAAAACATGATTATGCCATCAATACTCAATCACATGGGAAAATGACACTAAAAGTGCCATAGCTTTCATATGGCGCTCACCTTGGTGCTAATACTTTTTCCCGGATCACTTAAGTGCCACTTTTGAAAAAACATGGTCACTTAAGTGCCAACTCCAATTTATGCGGTAAATAACTAAATAGGATCGCCAAAATTTAGGTATCAATAATAGGCAATTTAGACTGTTAAATAAAGTTGAAGGCAAAGTACAATTTGAAATGCTTGAGAGAAAAAACAAAATAACGGAGCGTGAACTTTCTCAAGCTCATACCAATCGCAACTTTAGGATTTTGATTTAATCAATTTAACATGCAATTTAATTCAATTAGGAGTCACAACCAATCTATTTTGAGTCAATTAGTAACCTAAGTAAGATGTTGAAATGACATTAGATTTTATTTAGCGTAATCAAGTCCCCGTATCCACGATATCTCTAGTTCACAAAAGTAAGATGTGCAAGGTAAAAGTCTAAGAGTAATTTGAGAGTCAGAGTATGACAGAAAAAAAAAAGAGATGTCAGAGAACATCTTACTTCTGTGAACTACAGATATCGTAGATATGGGAACTTGATTACGCTAGATAAAATCTAATGTCATTTCGTTCACTTTATTTCAAAAATGCTTTGTGGACACTCTTGGTTAATTTTTATCTTAAGCCACTAACATGTTATCGGTAATCATGCGGGTGTGCAAACAAAAAATTTAACACTCAATAAATCAAAAGCAATAAATAAATTGCTAGAAAAGAACCTCAGTGCATTACGCAAGGCAAAAGAGAAGCTTTAATATCATCCGATGCACTGAGTGTTCCGCAAAATGCTAACTAAAAACCAAATGATGATGTGATGTATGCATGATCTAGGCTAATGCAATTAATTCTTTTCGGTTTTTCTTTGAAATAAGCATGAATTAATTTAATTGCTATATCTATATGAGTTCTAATCAAACATGCATTGATTAACTATATATAAAATTCTAAATGACATGCAAGCTATATTATAATTCAACTGAGTGCAACTTATTACGCAATTCTAATGACATGAAAGATGATCAATTATGAATTAACCATAACCATGTGAGATTTTTTTTGTGCTTTTCTTTTTATAGATAAAAGACTAAACTTCAGGACACTAAACATGACTTCTATTTGAAAGGATAATGACCTAAAGATGCAGTGCTAGTATTTTGTTATTTTTCTCTTTATAAGAAATAAACTACATGCAAAGTTTTCTTACCAAAAAAAAAAACTATATGCAAAGCATGAAATGTAATTATTAATTTATCTACATGATGAAGTTATTAAACATGGACCCTAAAGCAAATGAAACACTAAATGACATGCATATGTGACTAACTAATGCAATTTACATAAGATTTTTATTTGATTTGTGTTTAATGAAGATTATAAACTATCCTAAGTCTATATGAATTAAATGCATGGTTCTAAACCTGAAAGCCCTAAACCATGGATGCACCTAAGTTTTAAACATGCAATTAATTTATGATGTGTGATATGCATGACTATTAATTCATTCAATAGTTATATGTATAACTCATCAACTCCATTTGATAACATGTTATTGAAAGCAATCAAATTTCAATTAATCAATAAATCATAACAATCACACAAAAGACAATATTAGGGGTCCAACCTCTAGTCTCAAAGATCGAAGCCTTAACATGTCTTAATTAATGCAAGAACTAGTCAAGGTATAATGAAAATAACCTAAGATCTAATCACTATATAACACGCAATTAAACTATGTAATAAAATTAAATAACCCACATAAATTACCAACCTCACCGGTAGCTTAGGTTATGGTTTTCACCTAGTGATGACCGTGAAGATATAACGCGAGGTAGGAGCGGCCGTCAACGTGATGAAAAAGCCGTCGGTGAAGCGGGGAACGCAACGACTGAGCTAAGGATTGTGCTGGAAATTCGTAGGGGAGAGCCGAAGGTTGTTGGCACACTGAAAAATTTGCTATGGGACTCTGCCGGTGCTGGACAGAAACAGTGGGAGTTGCTGGTGTCACTGGAAAACCTAGAGTTCGCTGGTGTAGTGGGGCATGCGCGGCTCAAATCACAACGAGTAGGTGTCGCCAGTGCTGGACTGCTTTCAACAAGCGTGTAACAAGGTGCCTCCGGACGGTTGGGATGCTGTCACACCCCTAACTCAGCAAGAACAAGAGCATAACACGGCTATCATTTTACCAAAGAATGCGGCCTCAACATAACCGAAACTTAACCAGATATGAATATATATATTATATATATATATATATATATATATACAAAAAAGTCATTTTGGTACAATATTAGGCTACGTTCGGTCGTCCGGATATTTTTGCTGGATAGGATAATGTCAGATAGGATAAGGATAGGATAGTATTTTAAATATCTCATCCAATGTTTGTTAACGTCCAGATATAGCATGGATTCAAATAAATATTATACAAATGAGTATTTGATTTGCAGGATTAAAATTAAAAATAAATCATAAAAGTCGTAAAAATATTCATCCTTCCACAATCCGCCATCGATGTCGAACATCCGCCGCCATTGACCCCTTCCTCTTCTGCGACGAATCCATCTTCTCCTTCTTCAATCAAACACAATTTCTCGCTATTCCCACTCCTACACACACGCTGTTCCCCTTCAATACCTTCTTCTCTCATCAAATCCAAAGGAACTGATACAAGGATCACACCGAATCTCGATTGCAGCATCCGACAATGGAGGTAGTACAGACAAGAGTAGAGTCATGGATCAGAGATCAGTAGGCAAAGTTCCTCAAGGTGTCATGGGGCCCGCCAAGATGGCGCGTAGATCCGATTCGCGAGCGAGCAGCTCCTCCGGTCCAACTTGCTCTAAGTGAGGCAGTTGGGGAGCTCTGTCGCGCTGGCGCCTCCGTCGAAGCGGAGGCACCGGGCTCTAATTGGGATTATGAAGGTCCCTGCCAGGATGGAGTTGAGCAACATAAGGAGGCAGTGAAGAGTATGGCCATAGTACTTGAGGAACCACCAGCGAGAGAGGCGCGGCCAACAGTGATAAAAGGCATGGATGCAGTGAAAAACGATCTAGATGGTCAAGGCTTTCGAGAACGAAAACAGGAAAACCCGTGAGTAAATAAAGTAGCAGACTTTTCAGGAAGTGCTGGACTTGCTGAGATTGTAGGAGTTGCTGCAATTATTGTCGGCAACTGTTGTTTGTTTGCTGGGAGTTTGCAAGGACGCTTCATTGGTGCACATGGAGAGGTGGAGTGTGACATCTGGAAATTTCGTAATAATATGTATGTGATATAGGAAATTTTTCGTGTTCGATAATGATAATTTAAGTATCATTAACTTAGTATTCGTGTGAACACGTAGAAATCGTAGTTGGACCGTAAATTTGTGAGGCGCGGATTCGGAAACATAATCATTATGAGTTCGACGTGTTTAAAAATTTTAAACGTTGTTATATACGTTAATAGTAGTACAATATTAATTAAATTACCATTGTCTTGGTAATTGATGTGTGGTATTGTTAGTTTAAACTCTAGTTAATTTGTGTTAAAATTAATTAATTTCTAATTGGCATTAAAGGGAGAGGATATTCTGTTTCTACTTAATTTTTTACAAAAAACCTCTCTTAAGACACATTGCTCTCACATGGCTTATGGAGGATTCATGCATGGCCATATTTAGAGAAATCAAGCATGCCACATGCCCTTCTTAAACCGAGTTTGTTGCATTAACTTGACACATAGCCATAAGCCATCATTACTTGGGCTATTGCTTATCTCTAATAAGCCTTAATTTCTTACACTTGGCCGTAGATTGGAAGAGGAAATGCCACATATGAGTACATGCAATTGTCCACCTAAAATCTACTCCTATGCTGCATTTTCATCTTGGAAAACATCAAAGGAATCTTCATCTTAATCGTAATTCTCTTTTTCACCTTCTACTTTCACCAACACCTGATCCAAAATCTACAAGAGAGCTTTAACTTTGGGTATTCAGATTTTGCGCAAGATAAGTGAAGACTCTGGAATTAAGTTAGAACAATCTACCTGTCACTTTTAACTTGGATGGTTGTGATATGCTATTTTGAGATGTTACAGTTGTGAGAACAAGGTAATCTGTGGAATTGTTTGGTTAGTCTCGAGCATGTTAAAATGGGTGTGTTTCGTTACCTTAAAAGTGTGGTATAATTGGCAAGTGCAATTGTTAAATTTGAACGTGGAAATGATATCTTTGAGGTGATTGTTGAATTATTCTTGTTGGTTTTATGCATGTTTAAAAGATAGTTGATTGTTTTACTCAAAGTAGAATTCATTTGGTGAGTGGAAATGATGAATCAGAACTTGGAAAAGCTATATTTGTGGGTTTAGACTTAGGCTGCGTTTGGGAAAGCTTTTGGGGAAAGCCTTTGGAGAAAAGCAAAGACCTTTAGTTTAAAGGGTTTTGGTGAAATGCAAAAACTGTTTGGTAAACTGTAATTGAAAAGTGCTTTTGGAAGTAACTTTGGGGAAATGCTGTTTGGTAAACATATATTTGGAGAAAGTCCTTGATTTGACCAATTTAAGTTTTTTAATTTTAATTTGTTTAAAATTGGAAAAAAAAATAATGATCGTAACTTTTATATTTTCACTTTTAGAATAATGTAAAAGAGATATATTAACAAATTAATGAATAAGTAAACCACATCTTTGCAAAAAGAGAGTACTTTAATTATAATAAACATTGTCACGTATGCATCGAGGAAAAAAATAAATTGTCATTGAAATTTACAAGCATCTTAAGTATTTACTAAACTCATGGCTATTTGATCACGTAAACGTGCCATGTCAGAAAATAAATTATCATTTGAAGCACTAGCCCCGTCATTCACATCATCAAGATCAACTGAATATCCATAATTGGGATCCAAATCTGCTCTTGCAAAATGTTTATCACTGACGACGTTTCTTCGTATATAATTGTGCAAGGTCATTATTGCTACAACAATTTTCACTTGCTTCTCAAATGGATAACTTGGCATATGCTTTAGAATCTTCCACTTCTTCTTCAATACACCAAAGGCTCGCTCAATTTTTGATCTTAGCGATGAATGATGACGGTTGAATACCTCCTGATAACCTGAAGGTGCAGGACCTTGTCGAAATTCTGGCAAATGATATCTAACTTCTTTGTATGGCCCCAAATAACCTGTTTGATTTGGATATCCGGCATCTACTAAATAATATTTACCTACACAAATATTATGTAAATTTAATCAACATATACCATATTGATACATACTAATGCTCTAATGCACAAAAACCATTAATAACAAACCTAGAGGAGGATGAGGAAATTGTACATCAAATCTTCTGAGGGCTTCGTAGAAAATACGAGTATCATGAGCTTGTCCCTCCCAACCCGCATAAACATAAGTAAATTCCATGTTAAAATTACACACCGCTAATACATTTTGAGTCGGTGTTCCTTTTCGACCAATAAAACGAATCTGATCGTGCAAAGGTACCACCGCTGGGATATGTGTGCCATCAATAGCTCCAATGCAATCCTGAAACGAAAACCCAAACATTATTGTGTAATCGAAATTTATATTTAATTATTCCTTTATATTGTATAATCTAAACGTACCTTAAAATATGAATAAAATCTTCGATTATTTCTGATCTTCTTTGGAACTTCCCTAAATTGCCGATCAATTGGTTGGATCAAATCTTTTCCCATTTCACATACTTTATTTAATACTAAGCTAAAGTACCTACTCACGGTTTCCCTGGAACGTTGAAAACGCTCCTGTGTTAACTTGTTACCTACACCGTGTCCTAAAATGTGAAGAAACATTCCAAGCATTTCTGTAACATCAATATTCCTAGTTCCTTGAAGACCATAGTGTGTCACTAAGTCATGCATTAAACTATTAAATACAATCTTATCCATTCTAAACATTTGATAGCACCTTATCGGATTAGCATCTTCGCTCATCAGCTCTTCTAACCATGCATTTCCAGTATGTGAAGATGTCATACAAGGTACTTTGTAACTGTATATTGCCTGATAAGCGACTGCACATTGACCAACTCCCACAAGTTGCCAATATTCCTCTTCCCCATTTTCATGGTCTTCCCATTCAGGAGAATCATCCATAACTGTCGAAGTAACAAAATATAGAGTTACAATAAGAAAAGTGATGAATAATATAGATCATCCATCGATGGAACAATTATATCATCCATCATATATATGCAAACTTTACCCAATAAAAAAAACACCAACTGAAAACATGTCTCACATTAGAACATAAATAGAAATAGCGTTCACAAGTAGTGCAAACACAGTGCAAAACACCAATTGAAAATATATGTCACGTTACAATAATGTAGAAAGAGTTCAAACAAGTAGCTACATTCTAGCGATGACTATTGTGCTCTTCCAACTTAAACTTGAGCCACTCGACCTTTTCTTCATCTCCATCCAAGTTCATGAAAATTTGCCTGTTGTCTTTCTTTTCAGCAAAATGTGAGAGTGCAAAAAAGTATAACTTTCGGTCTTGCTTAATCTCAGGGATGGCTTTCAATGTTTGCATAATTTCTTTGTAAGGATCAAACTCCCTTGCAATAGATGTCGCATTGCTCCTACTTTCAACAGCTGAACAAAGTCTGTCAATTTGCGATGCTAACTTGGTCGGTCCAGTCACTTTTTTTTCTTTCTTCCCTCGAGCTTGCCTTATTGAACTCTCCGCCGCTCTTTTATGGCTATTACTTTGACTTGGTTCAACTACCTTTTCACCTACATTGCACTCTAAAGTATCATCAGTAGATCCTACACAATCACCAATATCAGCTTGTGTGGCCTCAATATCCTCATCATTGCATAAACCTTGGGCAGGATTCCATGTGATACTTCCAGTAGCAACTGTACCCTCGAACATTCTATCCAACAAAGCTTTAAGCTCCGGATGTATTCCTTTCGTTCGAAAAACTTTAAGTTTAGGATTGGCCTGTTATAATAAAACATTTTCATGAGTTGTATCATAAAATATGAACTTACCAAAAAGTAACAAAAGAAGAGACAAACACCTTAATTTTCCTCTCCCACCATTCATCACTCGCATCAATGGTTTTCTTCCTTGGATCCCATCCTAGTCCCGTTTCCTTTTGAATCAATTGCTTCCATTTTTTCCATTCTTCCTTCAAATTATCCCACTTAGTCTTCATTTGATTTTTATCAAACTTTTTGCCCCTTAGCTCCTCAAACTTGTTAATTATGGCTGTCCATCCATCCCTTTTATTGCTTGCCGGCCGATTGCCTTTTTCAATTTGTTCAATGCACAATTGACAAAAAGTTTCTACATCTTCCGGGCTCCAATATGCCTTTTCCTTTGATGAACTTGCCATCTTCCAATAAAATAACCACAAACAGATTTGAAAAATGCAAACAAACGAGATTAAAGTATGACCCAATTCCGTAAACATGAATGAACACATGCGTATGCAAATTTTGATAGAACATTAAAGATAGAACATAAAGCTACAGCACAATTCGATATCCAACAAAAGTATAACAATTCTTTTTTCTTGTTGAACCCCCTTTTACCAAAAACTTAAGCTATCGAAAACAAGCCTACAAGTATATCAAGCCTAAATCTCAACAGCCCCTTGCACGTGTAAGTTGAACCATACACATAAAACATAGAATTTAGATGTAATCACACCAAACAATGACAAAATTGATTGAGCATAACTCGCCCAACAAAACCACTGATTTGAAACAAACCCTGTGAAAACAATAAAGTAGCTATTTAACACAACAGTGCGTGCGGAGGCAAGGGTGGTACCAGGACACAAAGGGTGATTGTGAAATTACACGAGGCTCTAGCGCATTGCTTTCATATTTTTCTAGCATAGAAGTTAAATAAAGTAGTGCTCAACATGCTTGTAAGGGCTCCCTGCGTATAGAATGACGTACGTAGACCTCAGCTAACTAAATGCTATAAAGTTCAATCCCAGCCGCCCATAGAGTCAAATTGCCATGGACATCAAGGGAGGGATCCCATACTAAAAACTCAAACGGGTAGCAATTAGACTAAAGGATCCCCATCTCGCTCAACCTCTGGGAAAACCCAAAAAACGGCCAAGAATTTCTCGACGCCGAGCACCACGAAAGAACTTACCGAATGCTCAGCATAACATTGCTGCCATTGCAATGGCTAAAAACCTCAACTCCAAAAACCAAGACTGCAAGCAGAAGCAGAGGAGCAACGCAACAAATCCGAAAACCACAAGCACCAAATCAAAAGCTGCTGAGGCACACCAAACATAATCGAGCGAGATGGAGTGCATGCGTGCGAGTGAGAGAGATTACCATCACGAAGCAGCGTGCAGATGCCCAAAGAGGGGCGGTCGGTGGGTGTAGGCGCGGGAGCCGGTGCGACGAAGAGAGGGACGGACCAGCGCAGGAGAACAAGAAACGAAGGCCACAGGGGAGAGAGCGCAGAGAGGGGATTTGAGGATTAGGGTTTGCTCTTCTTCTTCTTTTTTTCCTTGGTTTTGGGAGGGAAGCTCTACGTAGTAGCGTTTCTCTGGAAGGAGGTGAAGGGCGTGGGGTTGCGGCTGAGGCGTAAGGGATGGCTTTTAGGGTTAGAAGCAAAGAAAGGGTTAAAGTGGAAATTAGGTAAATTTATGAGGGCAATTTCGACAATAAAAAAGAATTCTTTATTCCCTCCTTCAGCTTGCCGAGAATGCTGAAATGCCCAATGCTCCTCTCCTGCTGCCTTGGGCTTTTGGCCTTTTGAAGGCCAACTTTCCTTCAATGGGGTTTCTAAAAAATTTCCCCAAACACCAATTTTTAGCCCAAAGGGCTTTAGATGCCTAAAGTCACTTGCCAAAGCTACTCCCAAACGCAGCCTTAACCATTGTTTGTAAAATTTATTGATTTCTCAACCGAGTAAATTTTAATCTCAAAATCTGTATATGCCTATTTCTAAACCTGACCATATTTTACTTTTAAAGTCTGGATATACTTATTTTTGAACCCAAACAGATTTTACCGTCAAAATTTGGACATGTCTATTTTTGAAACCGAGTAGATTTTACTGTCAGAATCTGGACATGTCTATTTTTAAAAACGAACAGATTTTACTGTTAGAATCTAGACATGTCTATTTTTTAAACCAAATAGATTTTACTGTCAAAATCTGAACATGTCTATCTTTGAAACCAAGCAGATTTTACTGTTAGAATCTAGATATATCTACTTTTAAAACAGAACAGATTTTACTATCAGAATCTGGACATGTCTATTTTTAAAACCGAATATATGTTGACATGTCTATTTTTAAAACTGAGCAAATTTTACTTTCAAAATTTTACTATAGAATCATGATATAATTACTCTCTAAAACTTAAATATATTTACTTTTTAAATTTGAATAGATTTACCTTATATTGAACTTGATAAGGTTTTAGCCTTTTAAGTCTAAACACGTATTGCCTCGTACTTAATTGCCTGAATTATGGATTTCATTGTTTTAAGGGATATATAATGTTAAAAGAAGGTGAGTATATGCAATAAAATACCTATTTATCATGGCTTGTATAAGAATAATATAATTTCCATCACCCACAAATCAACGGCGACGATGCCTCGTGTGTTGGGATGCTCCGTTGGTTGGGATGCCTTGGAGGGTGTACCGAGATACCTCGGGAGTCGAGATGCCCCGTTAATCGGGATGCCCTGAAGGGTGTACTGGGATACCTCGGAGTTGAGATGCCCCGTAGGTCGAGATATCCCGGAGTGTTAGGGAGGAGAAGTAATGAACCTAACGCTTGAGTATGAATACTATATATCATATGCTTGCGTCTGAATGAAAACAATGTGGAATAATAGTATGATCAAATTATTGTGGCATACCCAAATGGGAAAGGTATAACATTTATTTAAGTTCTATGCATATTGTTTGTTATGCATGTACGTTGGTGTTAGGTGAAGTGGTAAGCTGATTTTCCTAACTTAAAATTAGAGATTTCATTTACTGGGTCTTGGCTCATTTCTTTATTTTTCAGATGTGTAGGATGGATGTTCCACAACCTTTGCGTTTTGGAGTCCCCGTGTATTGTGAAGGTGTCAATGAAACGGTGTTTGTACTTGAGTCTCAAGCACTAAATACTAAATGTAGCTCTACTGTCTGGATCAACGTGGGTTTTATGGAGTGGGTTCCCTATCGTTTTGTTGCATGGTACTGTAAGCTTGATGGCGAGTTAGTTGGTTCGTTGAGGGGCTTGGACATTGATGGTGAAGGTCTTGCAACGAAGGGCAATAAGTTATTGATCCATTACGTCACCAGACTTTTTGTCCAGGCAGACTTTTGAAGTATAATCTAGTATGGAGATAGGCAACCTCGACCTACCTAGACTTTTGTTTTTTTTTTTTTTTGTGATTATATGATGTTTGACTGTACTTGTAAATCTGATAAGTTATGATAATAAGAAGCATAAGAACTTTGACTAAACTTGTGGGATTTTCATGGTTAAGAAATGTTCAGATTTTAACTTCTGCTGGCCTAATTATTAATAAAGATTAATAACTATTAAAAGACATGTGTTGCGCGTAACGTTTTGGGGCGTCACATGAGACCAACAAGCTCCAACGCCGCTTTTCCTGGTGGCCGAAGGCGGGAAGCAAGTCATCGTTGGTGAGAGGAGTGGTGGCCACTGGAGTCTATGATGGTGCTGGGCAAAAGAGAGGAAGAACGATCACCGCACAAGTGGGGAAAGAACGTATGGTTTTTTTTTTTTATCAATTTTCCATATTTCGCATATCCTATTCGGGTCTATCCCACCCCTTGGTGGGACTTTTTTATTCAAACTATATCCGGCCTATATCCAGTCATATATGGATTTCGCGTCACTCCAAACACTAGGTAGGATAATAGTTATCATATCTGGTATTTTATCCGGCCCACCAAACGCAACCTTAGAGTTTTTTATAAACCATCAAAAGGCTATATATACATCTCCATCCAAAAGCTAACTTGGAAACTCAATAGTTATATACAATTCATACCAAAAAGCCCCCTCTATCAAAAAGTCCTCCACTAACAAAAACGCTCACAACCTACTTACGACTCGCTAAAGAACCTGAAAAGCAAGTAAGATTAAAGGAATGTGCTACCACGGCTCAATGAATAATATAGTTCTTCTAAGTAGATTGAACATCCACTATGCACTCTTGCGAAACAAAACCATCTCATTTTAGCCAAATCCAGAATATGACAAACTTCAAGTTCAAAATTCGTTATATACTATTTTAACAAAACATATTTATAGCAGAAATACCAATTTCAATCAATAATATCAAAGGAAAAATCAATGGTCCAACACACTGATCAATCTCATCAAAACACACGTTAATGGTTCATTCCATTAACCAATCTCGTGCTCATATGTCTAGCCATAATCACGTATAACGCCCTATGACAAGGTGACCAAGATTTCTCCTTGACTAGATCTCCACATATATTGTCGGTGGCTCGGCCCACGAGGATATCTTATATTAGTATGCGTATACCCACAAACTACTCAATGGGTTCACAAAGACACTGAGCATCAATACTTACCCACAACAACATTCTCCGTAATCCACAAAGCCAAATCCATAAACCATTTCATATATCACAATACGTTTCCCAAATCTTTTCGGAATTCATTTCGTAAACCAGTTCACAGATCAGTATATAAGATTTCATAAACCAATTTAAAGTTGAGAGCTCTTCATAATTCTTTCACAAACCTATTTGCATGCAATCAGCTCAAACCCAATCAAAAAAATAACTTTTCATTTCAAATTGACAAAACGCCAGTAAATGCTCGATCTAGGTTTATGCAGCAAAAATGCCATTTTTTATCTCATAACATATCTAATCCATATCGTTTTCGAAATATGAGTTTACAAACTCAAAGAAAAGATAATACCACTCATCTAGGAAAGTCGAAAACCAACATATGGTGGTTAATTGAGCCGATGTACTCGAAAATCCTAACAATTAATTAAAAAGCGATATCAGAAATTGAGTAAATCAATATTTTAACAAATGACTCGACTAATTATACTTATTATTCGATAAAACCTGTGACATTCCGAATTTCGGCCCATTTTTGGGATTTATAAAACGGGTATTTCGTCAGTGCGATTATAATAAAATCTCGTCCGGAACTGATCACTCTTGGGTTATTTTTAAATTAGAGATTTCGCTAGAATCGCACTCGATCAAATTTGGCCGTTATTTAGAGCCCGAACTTTGGTATCGAATTTCTCGGAGTTCCGGGACGAATTTAATTGGACGGTGTTGATATTATTGTGGCCAGCCTTGAGATTGCCCGGGATATGTGAAAAGTGGATTTTTGACCGGGTGCGAATTTGGACTAGTAAACCTCCATCGGGGTAGTGTGATTTAATTAATTTGGCTTTTGTCCCTTATTATATTCTAGGATTAATTTGGACCGTTGGATTGTTTTCGAATTCGAACGTGAGCCGTTGGATCGTAATCATCGCGTTGACTTTTTGTTCTCTCTCTGCCGCGTCTGCGCCCTCTGCCCCATGCACACCCGTCCACTCCCCCTTTTCCCTCCCCCATGCAACGTCCCTTTCCCCTCTCTCTCTCTCCTCCTTTCTCTTTCCTTCTTACTCCTCTCTTCTTCTTCTTCCTTCTCCTTCGCCGCGCCATTGTTTCTGGTTCTGCTCCTGCTTCTGTCCTGCTCGCCCGACTACCGCTCGACCGTCCCTCCGCCTCCGCCCGACGCCGCCCCACCAGCTGCCGACGCCGCCATCACGCCGCCGCGTCGCTCGGCAGCTCCGCCCCTACTCGGTCTTCTTCTCCTCCCGGGCGCGCGAGTTCAGCTTGCCGCCACGCCTGCCGACTCCGGCCTCTTCTCTCGTCCACCCCGCTAACTCAACTGCTTCGCCTGGCCCCCGGGTCGCCGCCGTGCCGCCTCCTTGCGCCGCCGTGCCGACCAACCGCCACCCGAGCTGTTTATCGTTTCCCGGCGAACCAGAGGTCGCCGCCGCTTGCCGCCGCGTCCGACGAGTCCCAGCAGCCGTCCAGCCATCCAGTCAGCTCCCCAGCACCGCCCCGACGCCTGAGCTCCGCCGTCGCCATCGCCCAGCGTCCCCGTCGCTGCCGCGACTCCCCTCCCTCTTCTTCTTCGCCTTCCGCCGTCTCCGCCGCGTCGCCTTCGCTGTCGCCGTCGCCGCCGCAGCTCGCCGGCCAACTAGCTCGCCGGCCAGCCAGGCCAGGCCAGCCAGGCCCGGCCGGCCCAGGCCAGGCCAGCCCGGCTCGCGGCCAAGTCGCCCGGGCCATTGCCGAGCCGTTGCCCGCTCAGCCCAGGTCGCTGCCTGTCGCCTAGCCCGTTGCCCAGCCGCGCCCAGCCGTGTGCCCAGTTGTGGCCGAGTCACCAGGCCGTGTGCCCAGTGGTGGCCGAGCCCCGCGCCCGTCGCGCCCTCGCAAGTGCCGAGCCTAGCACTGTTCACCCGGGCCATTTTAGGCCATGCCGATTTTTCCCGGGCCAAAACCTAGTAAGTGACTCCCTAAACGTTACCTAGTACATTGGGTATTAATAGACTTGTTTAAGGGTTATTAGGATTAGTTTAGTAGTTAATGGATATGGTTGAATTGTGGGTTGGACATGGCTGATTTGTGGAATAATTAGTGGGGATTTGGAGGCCAATTAGTGGCTATCCTTGGCTGATAGGATTGCTATGATTATGGATTAATGTCATGGCGTCGATGGTTGGAATGTATATTGAAATGTGATGTGTTGGTGATTGTGTGCGTGGCCGGTTCATCGTGGCACATGGGAGTGAAATTTGA